AAGCGCGAAGCATATTCTCTCTACAATTTATGCATCCTATTATGTGTAATTATGCAAGTTTCAAAGGTGTAGAATTTTTAAAAGTGTAGTTTGCGTACTGGACCTAAAAATTGACAATTATCACAAGAAATCTCAGTTCCTGAAAAATACTTAAATTCGAAATGGTTGTCACAGCCTTCACGATAGTTTGGGACAAAAGTTTGATTGAGGAGCCAGCAAGACTTGCAAGTAGCTTTGGTAATTTTTCTTGGTTTCAAATTTAAACACTTTTTTCAACAAAATATGGTTCAAAACGTTCTCTGAGTGGCATTTTCGTAATCTTCGCTAGTACAAGCTTGCTTTAACAGTAGGTGGTAATACGATTTACTGAAATATCTCTTATTGAGGCTTGAAATCTAGTGGAGAGCAGCTTTCGCTTTGGTTTTGGCAGTCTTCTGGGAAAAAAATATTGTATGTCAAAAGAAAAGAAAAGCAGGAATGATAATGTAATTTGCTTCTTACTATTCATACGCAGCACGAACTTCATTTAACAATTTGCAGCAGATTAACTAGGTTTTTTACGTGTTCCATCTTCTCAAAGACATCGCGCTAAATTTAGCTAAAGTTTCTAGGAGAAATTTTATCGCTGAAGACTAATTATTTCTCATTAAATAGTGCAGTGAAGTGATGCTTTGCGTTCGCTTTAATAAAGGTCCTATATTTAGCCTTTACTTCATCTTTGGTCAGTGAGCATCGCATCAATGTTCGTCGCATATCTAATTACCTCGAGCATTCCTCGATGTAAGATAAGTGAGCATTCCATAACCTTAGGCAATAGAATACTTAGGTCAAACTAAGCGAGAAATTGTGCTGCAGCTTCCGCTTTCTTACTTTCCGCATTACGTACATCTTGACCAAACTAGACTTCTGGCGCTCCGATGCATACGGTAGCGCCTTGCTGTCTGGCATCGTAACTATCGTACAATAACATCATTACAATACCATCATTGTAATCCTAGTAACTAATAAATATGACTCAGTTGGAAAACAATAGACCTTATTTGATGATTAGATTCTATTTATTATTTGTTTTTTTTTTGCCATCCACATATACGCTAACAGGAATCAGATTTTAAAAAATCAAATTTTGACAGAAAGCTCCCTAAAACTGTTAAGAAGCTAATCGATTATTGATTAATCCTTAATTTTTATTTTAAGCTTATTTCTTTTGAGATTGCGCGCTCAGGACACGCTAGACGATGGCGTCATCGTATTTTCATGCGAATCTTGTGCGATTACTCGCTTGAATGCTAATTCTTAATTACGGTCGGTGTCCAGCGAATATGCGATACACGAATAGGGAGTATTTTGATTAAAGGGGATACTGCTTTACGGTTGCAAGGTTGGTTTTGAAAGGCCATTCTATAATTTCAAAAATTAATTTTGTTGGAGTACAATTGCTATTTGATGAAACATTTCTTAAAGTTTTTTTCCTTATAGAATAATGTTTCTTTTTACTTTTTACCAATTATTACGAAGTCAATATACAACATCGTAGAAAATATGCTGCAAAAAAAATAACGTGGAGTATGATATTAGCAACCATTTCCTTTAGCTCCTCTCAAATGTAATGGTTTAAAGGCATTTTTCAAAAAATTCTTACTTTTTCCTAATCTGTGCAACATCATAATGGAAATCTT